ACATTTTCAAAAAGTGTCGATCCCAAAAACATCGAAACCCATAATTATAATGTAATAGGTAAATTTACAATGTAACCGGTATAAATATACCGGTGTTATGAGAGAATAGGTCTATAACATGTAGCGACACTTGTTAAATTTGTGTCGATACTTTTTTTCCAGAATGTATGCCAAAAAGGATGAACGCACAAAGTGTCGATACATTTATTAAAAGTGTCGATACCGAAAACATCGAAACCCATAATTATAATGTAATAGGTAATTTTACAATATAATCGGTATAAATATACTGGTTTTATGAGAGAATAGGTCTACAACATGTATCGACACTTTTTAAATAAACCCAGGTTTTATTGGCTATGCTGTCAACATGATTAACCTGGATAATCCCAGTTACAGAATTGATTCCGACCATGATTGCGAGAGACTATACTCTACAGATTTTTTGGCATTTATGTGATGATGCGGATGAAATATTAAACGGTTTCGTAATCCACAATAAAAATAGACTAAGAGAGTAAATTTTATAAATATAGGGTTAATTTTGTATAATTTACATTAGACTAATAGACTAATAATTCCTAACATGTACAACTGATTTTTTCGTAATCCTCAATTTGTTATTGTACATGTTTCTTATACACAATAGAAGTTATGTTGATACTTACGATATATGGAGATCGTTGTCATTCCATTCCGTCTTCGAAAAAATCAGTTGATGTAGGCTGTGTGCTTGTACTCAAACTGAGCTTGACTTGAGGACATGTTAGTTTGTTATGTCCCTCACCGTTACAGTACCCACATCGCCTAATTTTCTTCTCGACTTTGTTCTTCGGTACTTCTTTTCGCTTGCGTTGTTTTCGTTGAGGGTCACGAACGTTGTTTACTACAATGCTCTGGTTGACTGAATCATTCAAACCAAATGAGTTTTCTAATTCTTCTATTAGTCTTTTCATCTCATCTCTTGCGATTTTGAAAGACTCGTCTGTCTTTGATGCAATGTAGCATAACCTACTTGACGTTGAACATAGAGTAGCGAACCGTGCCATTTGCATCACTTCTGGAGACACATTCAAGTCAACATAACTGGGTGCAGAAGCCTTTGCATCATTAGTCCACCTAATTTGAATCAAAGTCCTGGGCAAATATGTGTAATCCAAGTGCTTCAAAATGTGAAGTTGATGGCGACACGGAAGTCCAACGGTCTCAAATTTTTTGTAGGAGCAATTTAGGGTTTTCGTATGAGAATCAAAACTAATTTCAAATTTCCTTTTTTTTCTTTGTACTTTGAAAAAAATATAATGTTGACATTCATCTGATAAAGACTGAATCTCTACCTCAATCCGATACAATGTCTCCCGTAGAAGTTCATCTTGGAACGCACGAAAAGATTCACGGGTAAAAATCGTAGTAGCATGGCTTTCAAGGTCGACCAGTTTTATGATCTGGAAGGGCTTCGTATGGGAACTTAAGTAATACGCTTTCAACTCGTTCATACGCATTCTACTAATTCCATCTTCAATTGCACGAATAACATCTAAATATGTTTTCTTGTGTTTCAGTGCAAGCGCTAGTGAAGCATTCATAGACTCGCACCTTTGTGTTGAGTGAATATTGGCAAAGAAATGACCGTTTAGATATGCTTGTGCCCATAAGTGCCGTGTATTTCCCTTCTCAATCACCCATGGATGCTTTTCAACGTTGAATTCTGAAACAACCAAACGCCATTGAATATCAAATTCCTCGGTTGTCCACCAGGAAGCCATGCATTTTGAGAATGCTGCTGTAAATTTTGGTTCACCAATATTAGCTTAAGCATTACGAGAAAGATGCCAAGAACATAATATGTGCTTAGCATAAGGGATAACAGATTTGATAGCCCTCTGCATTGTCCTATCCCCATCGGTGACAACTGAAATAGGTGATTTATTTATCATGGCTTCAAAAATATTCTGTAGCACCCACTCGAAAGATTGAGACGTCTCGTCAGCGATTATGGCAGTGGCAAACACAATTGTGTTATGGTGATGATTGACACGACAATAGGCATAATTGGTCGACCATACAAATTATCTTTGTACGTTGTGTCGAACGCAATTACATCACCAAAGCATGTGTAATCCGATCTCAATGTAGAATCCGACCAAATTAGATTATACAATGCCCCTGATTCGTCTACCGAGTATATCATAAAAAACCCGGGATCATCATGTTTCTTATAATCAAAGTAGGCAATAAGCGCATTCACATCCCCATCGACGATTTCCTTTGCTTTACCTCTTTGAAGTGAATTGTAGAGGTCTTTATGTGTAAATCCAACATTATGATAGCCCCCTGTCTGCTGCGTTAAATAGTTCATTACTTGTGACGTGCCAACACCGACCTCTTTCAATGTTGTTGCCTCATCGATATCAGTCTTACTTACAGCTCTATTACAACGCAAAAATGGTGTCATACCAGTGATCGTTTGTATTTATTGTTGTAACTACGACTCTAGCCTTACATCATGTTCTTGTGTCTGGCGTATTAGCACGTTGATGATCTACAGTATTGACTTTTGATTATCGAAACCCTTCTTTGGAACAACAAAATTCTTGTGTCTTCACATTCCCTTCCACGTCAAGCCGTGTTGTTCCCTTACGTGCACTAAACCCATGTTCACGTATGAATCCCTTGTAAAAATACCAAGCTTGATCACGTGAACAGAATAACTGACCAACCAATCTATCAGATTCATCAACATTATGTACTTCAAGGCATTCCTCGGTTGGCTTAACATTGTCTGCATCAGTATGATCCATGGAAAAAATTTTGTTGTGCAAGTTCAGTGGTCCTGAAGTTGATGGAGATGTAAGCAAAGGTTCATTGAACATGTTTCAGTCGTGCTGCTTTCAATAGGATGTGGTATTGGTAGTGGTAGTTAAAGGGTGGGTACAACATTAAATTCACAGTACATATTTAGGTATGTACAATAACTACCTAAATATGTGTCAATATATTTTCTACAAGTATCGACCCAAAAAACATCAAAACCAATAATTATAATGTAATAGGTAAATTAATAATATAACCGGTATAAATATACTAGTTTTATGAGAAAATAGGTCAGCATCATGTATCGACACTTGTGGAATTTGTGTCGATACTTATTGTCCAGAATGAATGCCCAAACGAGGTGCATGCATAAAGTGTCTATACATTTATTAAAAGTATCGATCCCAAAAACATCGAAACCGATAATTATAATGTAATAGGTAAATTTACAATGTAGCCGATATAAATATACCGGTTTCATGAGAAAATATGTCAGCATCAAGTATCGACACTTGTTAAATTTGTGTCGATACATTTTGTCCATAATGAATGCCCAACGAGATGCAAGAATAAAGTGTCGATACATGTAAAATTGTATCAATCGCAAAAACATCGAAACGAAAATTATAATGTGATAGGTAAATTTAAAATGTACACGGTATAAATATACCGGTTTTATGAGAAAATAGGCCTAAATAATGTATTGATACTTTTATAGTTTGTGTTGATACTTTTTTCCAGAATGAAATAGGAATGCCCAATGAGGTGCAAGCATAAAGTGTTGATACATTTAAAATTCTATCGATCCAAAAAACATCGAAACCAATAATTATAATCTAATAGGTAAATTTACAATGTTACCGGTATAAATACACCGGTTTACTTCAAAAATAGGTCAATATAAGCGCTACATATTACATTATATAAGAGCTACCTAATATGTTATTGTACTTGATAATATTTCATGTTAAATATCTATTTTATTATATAAGCGCTACCTATTACATTATATAAGCGCTACCTAATATGTTATTGTACTTGATAATATTTCCGATTAAAGGATATAACACAATCGGTCTAAATTTTAACCGATCACGCTATTTTTTTACCGTTTTTTAACCACCATACAGTAAAACTTCCCCTAAACTCTATGAGTCGATTCAGTAGGAGCATTATTTGCCAATGCAACTTTTTCTGTCAGTTCATTAGGGTTAATTCTTTTTCGTACTTGACATTGATGTGTAAGCAAAAAGCAAATTCTGCTATTGACATTTGATTGATAGTAGAAGGCTTTCTTCTTTCTTCTTTCTTCTTTCTTCTTTCTTCTTTCTTCTTTCTTCTTTCTTCTAATGCATGATAATAAAGCAAAACCAAATCAATCAATAGTTGAGATATAGAATGGTGAAACAAAACAAGCTAAGGGTTCATTTTCCTAATTTGTAACTGTTGTTGAAGACAATTATAGGTGATGGGGCATGTCTTGTTTCATTTGGACTCAATTGAAAAGGGAACGAAAAAAAGGTTTTCATAGTACAGCTCGAGTAATTACAGGAAATTATTTGAACTTACATCTTGGTACTTTGTCTTGGCGCCTTCCAATTGGGATTTTATTACCTGTTTGAAACCGACGTGGGTGATGGACATCATTGTCACGGATATAAAAAAAATTTAAGATGAACAAATTTTAAAATGAACGTTATTTTATGATATAAATTTTTAGGACGCGGCGCACGATAGTGATTTTTCTCTGGGTGCACGTTAGTAGATCTAACGGATTCCAAGAACCCATCGTGCTTCCGGTGGACTTCATCATCTTGTTTATTATTCCTAAGTTACCGATGGTCGTCTTCCTCCTAAGTCCTCTTTCAAATCTCAATTTTCTTATCCACCCTTCAATTGACCGATGGACTCAAGAAAACTATTTGGGAGTTTCTCTAGCCAAACCCTAAATTACTACCCAACCAAAATTAAAGACAGAATCTGTTAGAGAGTGGGTGCTTGAAAATGGCCCATGGCATATCCTTAACAAGCCCCTTATTCTGAGAAAATGGGAACCAAGATTAAAACGTCTTCACTTCAATCTTTCTAAAATCTCGATTTAGGTACACTTGTATAATGTTCCTCTAAAACTCTTCACTTATGCAGGATTAAGTTATTTAGCTAGTGGCATAGGGAATCCAATTTTTATGGATTCAGTTACAACTTCTAATACAAGGCTTGAATTCGCAAAGATTTGCGTGGAAATTGGAGTTAACGAAGAAATTCCTAAAGTTTTGGATGTTGTCTTTAATGATGGTTTAACTACATCAGTTCATGTTGAGGTACCATGGTTACCTCCTAGATGTAGGAATTGTAAGGTTTTTGGTCACAACGATAAAAATTGTTTGGTGAAACATCTTGCAAAACCTACAACAAATCAGGTCTGGAAGAAAAAAGATGTCTCAATTCCTAGTTCTTTTAATGGAAATACTGAGATTCCACAGAATCCTGCCTCTCCCAAATCTCTTCCTAAATAAGTTCTTCAATCTACTGATAATCAGTCTGACCTTAATTGTTCGGAATCTATCAAATTACCCACTGATACTTCATCTCCAAATCCTTCACCTACAAAAAATCTTCAAGTGAAAGAAGCTAACTCTGATCAAAATTGTATTAACCTCAAAGAACAACAACCTATCCCAACTACTGAAAGTCAGCCAATCTTTTCTGACACTTCTGCTACGGTTGAAGTTGGTTCCTCTTCTCTTCATAAATGTGGTAGAGGAAGACCTCCCGAAGAAAAAGTTGTTTTTGCTGGATCTAAGAATCGTTTTGAACTCTTAAATTCGATTGATAAAATCCCTTCAACACAGGAAGTTCCTCAAAGGAAAAGCAGAGTTGCTTCAAAGGGAGTTGTTGAACTGGTAAAAGACCTAAAACAGAAAAAGAACGAAAAGTTGGATAAGACAAAAAGTTCTATTGTTGAGGGAGAAGGAGCCACTTTGGAACCTAACCTCTAATGATAGTAAGCTTCTGGAACATAAGAGGATTTAACAATCCTCTAAAGCAAAATAAGGTGCTTCTAAGGGCATCACAGAACAATGTTGACATTCTTTGCTTGTTAGAGACTAGAGTTAAAGAAGATAAATACAAAGCCATCTTTGATTCTTTATTAGCAAACTGGAATATTAGTTCTAAATATGATTATGCCATCAACGAGAGAATTTGGATCCTATGGAAGAAAATTTTAGATTTATCTATTTTTCAAGTTTCTGATCAGATTATCTCTGCCAAAGGAAAGTACAATGGAAAGCCTTTTGTTTTATCGGCAGTCTATGGCAGCAATGACAATATCACTCGCAGACAGCTTTGGCAAAATCTTCATGATTTGGATAGAACTATTGGTCACCTCCCATGGATTCTTGGAGGAGATTTTAACATCACTCTTATTCCTAAAGAAAGTTCATATTATGAGCTTTTCTGCCCTTCCTCATCTCCTGAAATGCAAGAGTTCCAAGATGTTACTCAGACTATATACATTCATGATCATCCTTTTATAGGACCTCTTTTTACTTGGAGCAACAAAAAAGTTGGATCCTATCTTGCAAGAAAGCTTGACCGAATTCTCACTAACTCAAATTGGGTCAATACATTCCAAAACTCTCTTGTTGAATTCCTTCCCCCAGGTGTGTCTGATTATTGTATGACAATAGTTTGTCTTTCAAAAGATACCCCCACCAACAGACCTAAGCCATTTAAGTTCTTCAATTTTTGGACTTTGCATCCAAGCTTCTTGAGGGAGATTAAACAGTCTTGGAAGGTCTCTTTTCATGGAAACCCTATGTAAATCCTTTTTCTTAAACTCAAACACCTCAAAACCTACCTAAAGAACCTTAATAATACTTGTGCAGGTTTTGAAAGAAATGGAAAGAGGAAAAGAAATGCCATGATATAAAGAGATTACCGAGCATAATGAAAATGCCAAGTTCAACCGGTATTTCGAAAGCGCTTAAAGTGCGAGAAGATGTTTTTGAAGCCAGCTGTATCCGACTCTCCGAGAGCTCTGCCCGAGAAATCTACCTCGAAGATCCGCTTGGAGGGACCGGTGCTGCAATCGCCAGTTCTGCTGCTGACGCCGCCTGACCCTGCATATCCTGTCTGTCATTGGGAGCCTAAAATGGGATTATGCCGGTCACTCAGCCAGCTACCCAGGTTGTATCATAGCCTGTTCAGCCCGACTCTCAAGTAACTTAACTATGGTTTTGGGGTTTTCTAGGAAAGTCAACACCAAGTCCTATGATTAGTTTTCCACTATAAATAGAGGATAAAGCCACATTGTTGAAGAATTTGATTCCACGTTGATTTGAGCTTAAAAAATTAGAGGGAGAAGGTCTCATCTTTCTTCTGCAATCCTACTTGCCGTGGCATTTCTTCGTGACAAGATTGAGGGAGTGACGTTCTAGACATCCGAGAGGAGCTAGTTCGCTGGGGGCAGTTCGTGGTGGCCGAGGGAAGCTCCGGCTCTAACACCCCCAACCCATATTAAAAACCGAATACGAGTCTGAGGTGTCACATTGACTTTTCAAAACATTTACTTTTATAAAATAGTGAGTAATTTAAAACTTGTATAACATTTAACTTATTCAAAAAGTTTACAAAACTATTCAGAGCTTATACAATATATTCTTTTGAATACATGCCAACTAGAACTTTATATATTAAAATACATATTATTCACCTCTCTTCTGATCTGACTTTCAGTAAGGAGAACTGACCTGTCTTGTTCCACATTGCTCTTCACTCTTCTTGAAACCTACGTGTAAATCACTTACACGCTAAGTCTATGACTTAGTGAGGCAATAAATATAAAATGTAAACTATAACTTATAATCATGCATGAACAATTACTGCTATCACATCATACCCAAACATATATATCCATTCATATATCACATCCACACATGCATATAATTATCTTCTTTCCTATCATTATCATATTATTACCATTCATATTTCTATTCTCTTGTTTATATGATATATTATGTTCATATCATATATCTTATAACATATACAATAATCATTAACACACACATATATCATATCATATCATATCATATCATATCATATAATTCATATCACAAAACATATATATATCACATACATTGAATTCCATGTTATCTCTTATTAGCCCATGTACACCTGTGAGAACTGTAGATATATGAGTCTATTGAGGTTGTACACTATGCTGTCACAACAGCTCGTAAGGGGGGGCTATGAAATTTTGTCCCGAAGGACCTATGTATTGTATTTGTCCCAAAGGACCACTCTTTAAGAACCATATACATATTCTAGTGGATCAAATCTGTCTCAAAAGACCCTGTAAATGTTCCAAATGATACATATATGTCCCGAAAGACCACGTAGAACCCTCGACTCTTGGGATTCCAGCTATACCTATAGCTCCCGTATCATATAACATGGGCATTTTCACTTATATCATTCTACATATACACTTTCATATCATATATATATCATATAAGCTCATAGCTTCTTTCACATATACATGTAGTCACATAACTTCTTTTTATATTATCACATAGTTCATATCTTATAATTTGTTTTCTCATGTTCACATATATCATGTCATATGGCTCATATCTTTCTCATGCAATCACATAGTTCAGTTTCACATATGTTCATATATATGTACATCACATAGCACATACTTCTTATATCATTACATACAAAAGCATGTTAACACATATAATCATGCAACATATACAATAATATGTCACCACATCGACTCATGCACACATATGAACCATAGCAAAAACATACTTCTATCTAAGAATTCATGCATTTTACTATTGAAAATAGACTTGTCACAAGTCTTATTTCCCATTAAACATCATATGCTAAATAATATGCACTCACCTGGGTCTCATTAAGTTCCAATCCACTTTTATGATTTCCTTTCTTTCGATCGAATCTTAACTTGATAATCGTTCCAGAACATGTTCGTGCTCGATATCTATATAATCATACATTGATACATATCAGTATCCGATTGATATATTCTAATCTATCATTTCTTAGACCAAAAGAAAATGTCTATTTCAATTTCCCCTTGAAGTGCATCGATGCATTCTACAGTACATCGATGCATTCTTTAACATGTGCATCGATGCACTACCCATGCATTGATACACCAATCACCTTCAATGTTTTCGCATCGATGCACTAATTACATTCGATGGTTCTTCTTTAAAGAGTGCATCGATACACCTTGCCCAAAATTTTCATTTTAAGCCCAAAACCCATCAACTTTTCACTAAATTCTTCTATTTTAAGCCCCTATCATGTCATTAAACTCAACTACCATTACTTAAACCAACTTATATCCATATAAACCATATTTATCTTCTATATCTCATCATGATTCTTAAAATTTAAGAATCTTGTTAAACTTTCAACTTTGTTATTAATCCTTTTTAACTTCATAAATCTCTTATTCTTATTGACGGCAAGTCAAATTCAACTTTCAATTCTTATTATAAACTCTATTTCAATATTTCACTCAAGAACTCCAAATCTTTAATCTTTCATAACTCCTTTATATTTTGATTTTAAGATAACTTAAGCTTTCCTTAAGCTTAGTTATCATCTACTAATCATAACCCAACCTTAAATTTATCCAGAAATTATCTAAATAGAAGACTCACCTTTGGTTCAAGCCTTCACGTATGAAGAAGGAAGAAGAGAAGAGAAGGGAACTCTGGAACCTTTTTTCTCTCTTCCCATGTGGTTTCCTTATCTTATAAGGAAAATAAAAATCTTCCTTGTCAAATAACCCTTTTGCCCTTCAATTCATCTAATAATTACTAACAGCTTTTATGATTTATTTCCAAATAAATCATTGAACTAATCCATGGTTCTACTCTAGTCACCAAATTCTGAAACTTTACAATTTGATCATTAACCCGGTATTATGGATGTTACACTGGCAATGCATGTCGAAGGTTTTTTCTCCTTCCCTTAGTTCTTTACTTTCATATTTTGTTATTGGGTTGTAAGGAACGGATGAAACTTGCTTTGTGCTTGTTTATTTCGAACCCCACCATGAACTAAACCTATTTGGTTGGAGTTCACTTGGATGTTTAAGTTTTATTTCAATGAATGGTTGTTTTCCTATGTTATATTATGTTTTGTTTATGAGACTTAGTTCCTTAAGGTTGTAGGAGCTACAAGTGTAGCCATTCCTTAGGAGATTCTTTGGGTTCGAGAGAATATCGAGATAACACATCATTAGTGTTCGAGAGAAACTAGGGAGGAACTACATAAACAAGGGGTTCTAGGTAGTAACTAGGCCTAATCCACCTTAGAGATAAGGCTAGGATTTCATTTGACTAAAAAGAGTTGTGCATGAATGATAGGTTAGATGTTAATGCTGTCGCAAAAAGGTATTGTCGAGACATATCCTGTTATCTGGACCAATAGGATCACTGCAGGGGTTTACGCCAACCGGTTTTGCCAGGGCATCTTTAATCTGTCGAGTCCCTTACTAGAGATAGCATAGGGCACCTTAGTATACTCTGTCGGGCAGAGAGGCATAAAGATAAGATCATTCCGAGAAGTAAACTTAGGTTTTCCAGAGTGACTCTCATCACTCATTCCCATAGCAGTTTGTCGTGTGAGAAAGACAAAGTCTTAGTAATTAACTCGTATATTTACAATTTATTTTGTCTTGACATTTTACTTTGTTTTCACTCAACACAATTCAATTTTCCATGACATATCAAATTACACCACTATTCCATTTTCACAACATCCATTTCATTTTCCCACAACATTCTCATTTGTACATACTATCACTAACTTTACTTAGGTGACAAAGTAAAGAGCTTTGATAGAACTTATTCGACTTCCTCCAATCCCTGTGGAGACGATACTCACTTATCATTGTATTACTTATTCGATTTTGTATACTTGCACATATATCTGCACTCATTTATAGTACCCA